TTATAAACAATAGGTGTAATAATTTATAATCTTTTTGTAAATTATTGGTACATTTTGACATGAGTTCGTTGTAAGTGCAATTAATAATCAGAAATTAATTAATTTTTCTAATTATACTATAGATCTGCGTTGTGAACAATTTGTTATTAATGATTAATTTAATAAGTTATATGTTTTTTTATAAACTATAATTGTATTCCCACTTCCACATAATAAATTTCTGTAATACGTATATGCTTAAAAGCTTGGCTTGAGTTTATTTATTAACAACTTTATATTTAGAAGTTATGTATCGAAGAACGAAATTATTTTAAATTACTAATGATTTAGAGAAATATCTTATAATTTTGCGATTAGTATAAGAAAGTGAATGTTATACATATAACATAAATAAGATACACTAGACGATGATTTTTATGTGGATTACCCATAATAACAGCCTTCATAGATGCATAGCGGCAAAATCCCGCTTACAGGTTCCCGATGTATATTTTACATCCTGTCAACATTGAATATCATCTTAATATTATTTCTGGATGGTTTCTTTTCCAGAAAAGCCTAAGGAGTACGCTACTTTGTAGCAAATTCGTATCAGATAAAGAATTTTTCGTAAAATTGCAAGAATATGTGTAGAAAGTATACTCGGAGATTTATTTTTAAATTTTGATGATCAATTATAGTTATTCAGAAACACAAATAATTATAATTATGGATGTCGATTAACTTGGCAAACTCTTACCTAACTTTCAAGATAAAAATGAACCTCGTAATTTTTTTCAATATTTGTGTAATCCTTTATATTAACCAAAAATCGTGCACTTTTAGGAAGACTCGTATTTTTTGAAAACTTCGAGTGATAGAGCGATTTTGTTTCCGAATTCGGACCTAAGAAGGTAAGCTTCATAAGAGTTACCCAATGGATATTACAAATTTGAGAAAAAGTTAAAATTTGTTGGACAATGTAGTTATACGCAATTTTGAATACAGCCTTAACATAACTGAAAGGTTATGTTTACGAATTTTTTCTATAAAGTTACATTAACATCGTACAATACGAATAAATGCTTGGATGTAATATGTTTTTAGTTCCAAAAAAAGAATAAAAGTATGAGGCATTATTAATCAGTAATTGTGTATTTGCCATTTCTAATAACCTACTGAATAAATATTTATATATTTTTTAATCAAAGCACTAATAGTATAGGTAATTTACAAGATACAATAAAATGTCAGTAGTAACATTGTTTTATTTTTTCAAAATTAATTTCACTTATATTGAATGTTATTTTATGGTACTATACTTTAATTAATGTTGTTTAGAAAAATGCCTGATATTAAAGTTACTCCTTTGGGAGCTGGTCAAGATGTTGGGAGAAGCTGCATTCTTGTATCAATGGGTGGAAAAAACATTATGTTAGATTGTGGTATGCATATGGGTTTTAATGATGAAAGAAGATTCCCAGATTTTTCCTATATAATCCCAGAAGGGCCAGCAACTAATTATATAGATTGTGTGATTATTTCACACTTTCATCTTGATCATTGTGGCGCTCTTCCATATTTTACAGAGATGGTAATGTAAGATGTGTAAATTACATATTAAAGTATATAGCTTTTAAGAAATAATTTTATTTATAGGTAGGTTATACTGGTCCAATTTATATGACACATCCAACAAAAGCCATTGCACCGATCTTACTTGAAGATATGAGAAAAGTTGCAGTAGAACGTAAAGGAGAAAGCAACTTTTTCACGTCACAAATGATAAAAGACTGTATGAAAAAAGTTATTGCTGTTACATTGCATCAGTCTGTAATGGTTGACTCAGAACTAGAGATAAAAGCATATTATGCAGGACATGTACTCGGTGCAGCAATGTTTTGGATTCGTGTTGGTTCACAATCAATTGTATATACTGGTGATTACAACATGACACCTGATAGACATTTAGGTGCTGCATGGATAGATAAATGCAGACCAGATTTGTTAATATCAGAATCAACATATGCAACAACTATTAGAGATTCAAAGAGATGTAGAGAAAGAGACTTCTTAAAGAAAGTATGTTGAGAAAACTTAGTGCACGTGTGTTACATTTTACATTTATAAAATTATTTTTTAGGTTCATGAATGTATAGATAGAGGTGGCAAAGTATTAATCCCTGTATTTGCTCTTGGACGAGCACAAGAACTATGTATATTATTAGAAACATATTGGGAACGAATGAATCTAAAAGTCCCTGTATACTTTGCTTTAGGATTAACTGAGAAAGCTAATAATTATTATAAAATGTTTATTACTTGGACTAATCAAAAAATTAAGAAAACTTTTGTGCAAAGAAATATGTTTGATTTTAAACATATAAAACCATTTGATAAAGCATATATTGACAATCCTGGAGCCATGGTAGTATTTGCTACACCAGGCATGTTGCACGCAGGGTTATCTTTACAAATTTTTAAGAAATGGGCTCCAAATGAAGCAAATATGGTTATTATGCCCGGATTTTGTGTTCAAGGAACTGTTGGACATAAAGTTTTAAATGGCTCTAGAAGAATTGAATTCGAAAATCGTCAAATAGTCGAAGTTAAAATGGCAGTAGAATACATGTCTTTTTCTGCTCATGCAGATTCAAAAGGTATTATGCAATTAATACAATATTGTGAACCAAAAAATGTTATGCTCGTACATGGCGAATTTGCTAAAATGGAATATTTAAAAGAAAAAATAAAACAAGAATTTGGAACCAATTGTTATAATCCTGCAAATGGAGAAACTTGTGTTATCACAACCATTGCCAAAGTACCGGTAGATGCTTCTTTAGCATTATTAAAGGCTGAAGCAAAAAAATACTCAGCTTTACCACCAGATCCTAAACGGCGAAGATTACTTCACAGTGTTTTAATGTTACGTGAAGATGGAGTGTGTCTTGTAGATGCAGATGAAGTAATTATTTCATTTTGTTTATTCCAATTAAAAATGTAATTTATTAAAATACAAATAATTGAATATTTTTTTTTAAGGTAACCAAAGCTGCAGGTATAACAAAACATGTAGTACGATTTACATCCACTGTTCAAGTAAGAGATCCAGGTCCAGCGCATTCAACAACGTTAAAATTATTACAACCATTGAAAGAAAGATTATCAGGTTGGACAGTTCAATTAACAGATGGATCAATATCTGTTGAATCTGTTTTAGTAAAAGTAGAAGGTGATGAAGATGATCAAAAAAGTGTGTATGTTTCATGGACAAATCAAGATGAAGATTTGGGTAGTTACATATTAGGATTTTTACAAACTATGTTGAACTGAATGACCAAATACATTAATTATCGAAAACAAAAATAATTGAATACTCAACTGATGTATAATAAATTTAAATAATTTTTGATAACCTGTGATATTGTTACAATGAATACAGTGTATATAGTGTATTTTGTATTGCCATTCATCACAAATTAAATCATTCATTAATGAAAAGAAGTTACAATTGTATACATTATAATCATAGCTAAATTTATTTTGTAATTAGTAAATTTAATAACTATATTAATCTATTACAATTGGTCATATATTATACAGAACAGAAATATAGATACATAATATATAACTAATGTCTAATAATATTTTAATATTTTTATTATTAAGTTGATGTACGATTTTTTGTGGCTGAGTTATCGCTTTTTTAATGAAAAATGAGTTGTAGAAGAATAATAATTTATTTGTTTTTTTATCTTTTAAATTAAACATCAGTTTAAAAAAATATCATTATTACTATTTTTGATGATGTTATTAAAAAATAACCAAAGAAAATAAATTTTTATATATGTTTATATTTATCGTGTTTGATTAACGATGAAGATTTATCCTAAAATATGGGATTGTTATAAAATGTGGATAAATAACTTACATTATTTGCTATAATTGCAAATTATTATTGAAATTTGTATATTGTGTAACGTGAAATAAAACAATAATCTTTTTATTACTTATCACTACTTTTCTAAACATAAAATATAAATAAGTACTGCGTTGAAACATACGCAATTTTGTAAATAAACGAAACAAATGTTTAATATATTATAAATAGAGTATTATTGCCTGTTCCATATTTTGTAACGTTAGATTATAATAAAAATTAGAATTATTTTGTAAAATAAACTAATACATAAAAATATTAACAAACGCTCTTTTAAATGCCCCAATTACATATGGTTTCCAACTCATTGCTTAAATTTCGCACTTAAAAATTATTTAAACCATAGATTTGTTAATATAATTTATTTACTTCATTATATTCTAATATGTTCAAACACATTTCTGAACAGATTTATATAATCGCTAGAATTGATTCGCTAAATTTTCTCGTATTTTATAAAATCAATTGTTTGTTCATGAATTTAAATTTGCTTTAAGAAGCCGTCTATTGAACACTCTATGTATTATTTTTATACAAACGATCACACGAACATACTTATTTATTACACATTAATTCATTAACTTCAGTTTTGTGTACAAATCCTTTAACAACATAAAAATTGCTTAAGATTCTGGTGTTCAATATTAATCAAAGAAAAGATACACAAATATATTTGCATTATCGCTCAAAATTATATCGTGCGTTTCATTAAGCGTAATATAGATTTTACTCTATGAATTTTATGAATAATAAATTTTAAATAAACTATGAAATTTAAAACCACCTGAGCGTGCTTTTTGTAACAGAAATACTTAAACAATAATCACTATTATCATATAATTTACAATGTATAATTTTAATAATTTTTGAATTATGCTTTTTTCGTATCTATTAACTGTGTAACCGTAAGAAATGCCAATTTCATTATTTCTTAGTGTCTAACTACAAAATTCATTATTTATATTTTTTCCATATAATAAAATAATATATTCTTTTTATAAGAAATATTATTCATAATATTTCCATTGTTATATTAATCTTCTCAATAGCAAAATTTACCATTGATATTTATGTAGTGTTGGAGCATATATAATTTCACATATATTTGTTTTATCAATTGCCTGGTGTCACAATGCGTTAATGCAGCTTGTTCTTTGAAGTTAATTTTTTCTTGAACCACCCTGAAAAATACATTAAAGAAATTTATTGTATTATCCAATGTTTGAAGAAAGCTGTATAAATGTAAATGAAAATAAATGTTTGTACATTTATTCCAGCAGATACAAACTAGATAATTTACTTTTCTAATTCATTGATTATTCACTTCAATGTTATTAATTTGCATGAACTTTTTGCACTATAAAAGTAGATAAATTAAAATATATCTACTGGAAAGAAAATCATAAACGTACATCTAATTGATTTTTTGTGTGCTTATTTATATTAATTAGTATACTAGTCTATAAACCCTTTTCAACAACATTTAATAACATTAAAAAATTAACACGCAACATTAAAATTATGCTGAGTAGAATCCATCACCGTACATAAAAGCAATATTAAAATTGTATATTAACTAATAAAATATTAATTGCACGTGTGAGGATAAATATGTTTCTACAAGCAAAAAATAAGTAACTGAATCATTTAAAAAGGTTAATAAATGATATTCATGCTGTTTGAGTTTAAAAAGTAAAAATTCTGAAATAAAAATAATTGGATTTAAATAACTACATTTTACCATTATTTTCCTTTATCATTTTAATAATACAAACTTGAAATCAAACAACATAAACTTAATTATATAGCAAAATAATACAAATATAATTTATTATATAAGCACATATCTTACTAAATATTGTGGTTGCTAAAAAAAAGATACTATGTTATATCCAACAATATGTTTACCACCTGTAAAAAAAGTTAATTAAACATATAAGAGCAAAAGCAATGCAAATGTATGAAAATACAAAACAATGACAAAAACTATTCATAAGTTAAATTAATGAGAAATCATATAATCAATTTGATAGAGCAAACATAAAATTTCTTTATAGTGTGCCCTTTACCCCAGTGTTTGTGTTCATAAAAATTGATCCACATGTAGATATGCATGTTCTTTGATACCCATCATCTTCACATTGCTCCTTTTCGCAACTGACAATGTTACAAACTTTTGTTCATCTTTGTACAACTTTTCTACATCTATGTAAAGAATATTGCGCTTTCTATAAGTGAATAGTACATATTAGACAAATTAATTAATTTTCTTACTATTCATATATTACTGATGAATTTTACAATTATGTGATGGACACATAATTATAATTTTACATTGGTACAAATGATATTGTACAAAATCTATAATATGTAAAGTTTTATGTAATCGGGAATAAAAATATGATGTTGATTTCTCTTAACAATGCATTGGGACGTACAAGATGCAAGACATTCAAAATGCATTATGATGATCAAATAAAATATAAAGCTAATGAAATCTAAACATTGTGCAACATATTTCAAGGGACATACACATCATGATAGCTCTTAACATAAACTAGCTCATAATAAAGAAATATTGATAAATAACTAAAAACAATTGAAAATTTTATCAAATGAAGTATGTACAAATGTAACATGAGAAATATTACATATGATTAAAATTTTATTTGTATTACATATGACTAGATATTAATGTATCCATAAGGGATATCTAGCTAATACTCTAATAGTAGTAATAAAATAAAATAGTAGTAATAAAATTTTGTACAAATTTGCAATTAAATTTACATGTTTATCAGAAATTTTTTAATTTCGTTTTTAAAATCAATAAATAATATTTTATATCTTCAACTATGATTATTACTTCCCAAAGTGATTAATAAAAAATGTAGTTTTGAACATTTGCAAACTTTTAATTTAAAAAAAATTTTGTAATTTAAAGAAAAAATTATATTAACCATATTATGAAATATCAAGTTTTCTAACATATTTTTAAGAGTAAGTCGATATTGGATAATTACGTTTGTTATTGCTTGATTGTAGAAATGCTACTAGTTGTAAGCAAATAATAAAATAGTGCCCATTAAAATAATGTAACGTTTAATGCTACGAAAAATAATATGTGCAACGTAAATTAATGTCTTAAAATAAACTATTATAGTAAGACCTGACATAAACTGCAAATAGCAGTCTACCATCAACCCTTTCAAAAGAAGAAAAAGTTCCAGAATCTCATACTTTGATTTGCATACCTGCGAATCTGCGCCGTTTTGCCATGGGTTTCTTAGTGGACTGTTAGAACAATCAAAATAACAAAATTGTTATTTTTCTTCATAGCATGAGATTTCGTACGTTCTTATTAACCGTAGAGTCATCACAAGTCGCTGCTATTTTAATGATAGTTGCTATTTCAAATAAATCTTCAATATTTTCTTATTTTGTATGAAACAAACACTGGGATAACGGAACGAGTATGTTATTACAGTTTACATCAAATTTTTTAAGATAAAATTTTTAGTGATTCAAGTTTGTTTTGTAACAGGAAACAATTTAATAGTAAATAATTTCCTAGAAAATAACGATTTATTTTAGCTTTTAAAAAATATTATACGTGTATAAAATTGGATGCTTGCTGTAATACATACACTATTCGCATTTTTTTCTTTAAAAACAAAATAAACAAAAATAAAATGCGTACATAGTATATAAAATACTGCTAGCATATACTCTTGTTACATACGTACAAATATCGTGGTTTATAGTTTATTAAACATCGCGAATGTTATACACTATTTATATATGCATTTTGAAAATAACTTTCAATACACTTCATGACAAAAAATGTAGCGATATAAGTTTTGCTGATATCCATACTGTCATTTAGATTTCTATTTTTTAATTTCAATTTTTAATTTAAAAAAAAAATTGTTAATATAAAATTAACAATTTAAGGCCAATATAATTAAGAAACATATTTAAAGAATCTCTTAAATAAATTAAACAAAATATTGTACCATTATACATAAAATAATATATAATAAATGTATGCTTATAAAATATTGTGTATGTGTACGTGCGCGCGTGTCTTTTATTATATATATATCAAAATTCATCATCTTATATAACTACAAGCCACTTGAAAATAGTTACTCTTAATGTTTTTATGAACAGATACAATAAACAATGTAACAATAAAATTATTGAAATATTAAAACAGATCTACTACAAAATACCGTTTAAAGTACAGACTACCAAATAATATTCTGTAATATTGCAGCAAAATAATAACACAGGACTCAAAGTTATCACAAGGAATTGTTATCTTTTTATGTGTATAATATCAAAGAAAAAGAAAAAGAAAAATCACTCATTATTGAATATTTATAGGTACTGTAATAAAAGTTTAAAAATTATACATTATTTAACCCATAAAACAAAACTCCTTATATTTGAAAGTATGTACAGATGTGCATATATTTCATTGTTTTACATTATAATGAATACAAAATTAATGTAAAACGTAATTAATTCCTCATAATAACTATAACACGTTCATTGAAATAACATTCATTGCAATACTGAGCCCAAATAAAAATTTTTCACGTTTTAATAACTAATTGAAGTATGCCTATAGAGTAACAAAATCAGTAATATTTGTTCCTCTTTTCACAATTTTGAAGTTTACCTTCTTTTTTTTCTTGTGTTTTTTATACTGCTGGCCCATCAATGGATTCCAGCTAGCCTGTGTGTTGAGATTTGGAGGAGTATTTTGTAGTAAGGGAGCTGTTGTCAATTTCTTCTCGAGACTGAACCAAATTGATGGGCTTGGTTATGGAACAATTTGCAAACTCTGTATTCTTGGAAAGAATATTGTCTAATGCAGCTATCAGATTCTGTGATACTAGTTGGGGCTGCATTTCAGATATATCATTATTTAACTCACTAAACATTACATCAAGCGACGACAATTTATCAAATTTTCTTAATATAAGTATCAAAAAAAATTTGTCAAAACTGTCGTTCTCGAAATGATCACCAAATGATACACAACAATCAAATTGTTGATACATATTTGTTTGATATAAATTTCGCTTTTTCGTATTTTATTAGAATAATTCACATATTTTTTAAAAAGTATTTCAAAATAATATATGAGCCATACAATTATTAAATATTTAGAAAAGTGATTGATAGTATTCGAAAGAAAATGTTTCTTGTACTGTCAAAAAATCAACATTTTTTGCACATAAATAAATATGATAAGGTATATGTATTATTTACAAATATATAATTTTTTAAGAAATAACTTATTTCAGTGAAAACTAGTTATAAATTAATAAACAAAACAAAACGATAGTAACTTTTCAAAGGACGATTTTTAGAGTAATATGTATATCACTGTTTTTTTTTTTTTTTTTTTTTTTTTTTTTTTTAAATAGTAATGATCAATGATTTTGAAAATCTACATTTATGTCACTTTTCTAAATATCAGTTTGTATACCAAGTATATAATAGCAAAAATGATTGCTATGAAGTAACACCAAATTAACCTCCCCTGTTTATAATTGTGTAACAGATTATAAAGATTTACTTAATGTTCTTAAGATTTCATTAAATGCATACAAGTGTGATATAGGAATAAAATGTGACATCACTGAATAATTAGAATATATAAGTTTGATATAATTTATAATTTTAATGATTTATTTAAATAAAATTGTATTTATGTATGAATTAAATCGCTATATTTATAGCAATATAATTGCTATATTTATAGAATTCTATGGATAAATAATTATAAAAGTTTAAAATTAGATTTTTTGGGCCTTTTTTGCTGCTAGTATTAATAAAATAATATTTGATAAGTTTAACTATATTTAATACCATTATCAAACATTCCCCATTAATTTATCAATTTGATTGCCTATATTATGTATCGAATAATCAATATGAATAATAAATTTCTCACAAATAATACTTTGTAAAAGACAATTAATTCAAATACTAGAATCCTATTTCATCAAATAAATTTCGAACTTTAATCAAAGAAATAAGATTTCATAATACATAATATTTATTTTTCTAGAATACTTAAATACTTAATTGACTTTTACAAAATAATATTTATATATTGGCTATTATCATATAATTATTACATATAATATAATAACAGCAAAACGCAAAAATCTGTTAGTAATTATTTTCACAAATTAATTTACATCACGCCAAAATTTTTCAGCATTATGTAGTTTCTTACATTTTCGCATTATAGCCATAACTTTTGTCATTATAGCTATAACATAAGCTTTGTAATTTTTGTATACAAAAGGCACTGGACAAAAATTAATTAGAACACTTACGAAGCATTTAAAATCAACGTATACTAACCTCGGAATTAGAACATTCGGAAGTCGGTGGTCCATTTAAGATTGGCTGTTCTGAACTGCTACAATCTCCATAAACTTCACCCTAAAATTAACAAAAAATTTTAATAATATTTACAATAAAAAGATTATTAAAGATTTCTTAATTCCAAAATATATCTTTATAAATTCTAGAAATATATATTATTCATACTAGATATATAATACCTTAAGTTGTGGCATTTTTTGATGAAGTTGTACAACTACACATCGCAACTTATCTAGTTCTGCATCTACTGCTGCTCTTTTGTTACATTCTATTTGAAGTTCTTCTGACAATCGTGCTTTTTCCTATAATTGATATAACGATATTAGATTTATCACATTTTCTTCAGCATATTTTAGATAAATTTATTTTAAAATTTATTTACCTCTTGGAGTTTTTCTAATGTACCTAGATCATGGGTATTTATTTCATGCAAAGCCGATTTTGATGTAGATCTAAATGCTAATAAATCAGCATTAGCTTGTTCTTTAAAAGATTCTGCATCTTTTAGCCTGGTTTCCAATTCTACTACTTTATCTTGTAACTATGGGCATGTAAATAAAAATGTCATAAACTTATATTTGCAAATAAGTTTAATTTAATATTTATATGTTCATAACTCACCTTTTCATTTATATTTACTTTGTTCATGAGTTCATTCAATTCAATCCTAAGATTTGCTATCTCATTTTCTTTCTGTTGGAGCTGCGACTCCCATCTTGTTTCTTCAGACTCTACATGACTCTGAAGCTTGTTAAGCATACCTTCCTATAATTACATTTTTGATAAATGTAATTCAAAAATAAATACAATAAGCAAATACCAAAATTACGAAAAAAAACTTACTGTATCATCGATAATTTGTTTATAATGCGAAACCATATCTTGCAAATTTTTGTTTTGTTTTTCTAACTCCGAATGAACATCAACTATATCTTCTTTCTTTAATTCAGCCAAAGCAGTATTAACTTTTTCTTCAAAAACTTTGAGCCATTGATCATGTGATTTCTCAGATACTTTAATTTCTGGGAATATCCTTTGTAATAAAGTTTTCGTTAATTCTTCTTGTTCTACTTTTACTTTTTGTATAACTTCCTAGTAATACATAAAGAATTGTTGTTCATTTAAATTTCGTTTATCTTACTATATAGAATAAATAAATATAATACTCATACAAATTGAAGCTCACGATTCATTTAATTCTAAAAAAAGATATTGAAGGCAAGGTGATTTTAAATTTTGAAAAAATATAAAAAAAGAAAAATTAAGATAAACTTGAAGTAAAATGGGGACTTACATCAAAGTTCTTCCCATTACTAGATTTAACACGTAACTCAGCAGCAGAAAGAGCTTCCATCACTTTCCAGTTTTTCATACGTAATTCCTGTTCCAACCATAAAGAAATATAGGTCAGTATGACAACTTGAAGCAAATGTTTTATGTAAACAAATTACACATACTTGGAGAACAGTTTTTCAAAGTTAAAAATTGGGAAAAGTGTGGCAAAGTGATGGAAGCAGTAAAAATTAATTGTAAAAATACATAATTATACAAAAAAATAAAATTCATATAACAATTTAACTAGGCATTTCTGTAACAATTTAATTATTTACATATTAATAATATTAACATATGTTTATACATATATATGTTAGTGAAACACATACATATACATGTATACATTGATTAAATGTACAGAATAAAAATTTATCCATAAATACTATAACTTACATTATTTTTAGACCTTTGTGTTTCTAAATCATTATTTAAACGTGCAGCAAGACTACGTTGATTGTTTACATCGCATCGCAATGCATCAACCTGAGCATTTAATTGATTGAGTTCCGCTTCTTTATGTGTTAATTCCGTTTTTAAGGCATTTAATAAACTCTCCTTCTGTGCCAACCTTTAAAATATAATTCACGTACAAAAATGTGGTTATCTGATTATCACAGGTCAAAATGTGTGAAATTATGAATTTTACTTTAGGATATGTACATACAAATTGGTCTGCTCTACAAGTTGTACATTCTTTTGAACATTGTCGTCGATTCCATTTTCTCTGCCTTCTGCAGCTGGTCGTTCAGTGGTTGCTGCTAATTGAGAAGCCAACGATTCATTTTCTTCTTGTAACTGTTTAAGTTGTTTTTGTAATTCTGCGAGATGTGCGAGCTGAAAAAGTAATTCGTGTATTTACAATGAAATGTAATTTACATAAATATTGATATTTAAATGAATAGTACCTGTGTAGAAAGTGTATCATTTTCTTCTTGCAAGCGTGTAAGCTGTACTTGTGTTTCACTAATTTGCTTTTCATTACTCTGTAACCTATTTACTTCGACTTTTAACATTTTCATTTCATTCGCTGTTTCATTTACAACTTTGAGTTCTGCACGTGTTTTTTCTAATTCATTTCGAGTTACATTTAATTCTTCTTCTAGTTTCTCCATATTTGATTCATAAGTGTTAACATCACTTTGTGCTCTTTTCAGACTTTCTGTTGATTTTTCAAATTTGTCTTTTACTTCATCTAAATTCTTCTGTACTGCATTTAACTGTGTTTCTAACCATGTTACATTTTCTGTTGACCGTGTTAATTCATGTCGTACATCTATAAGTTCGTCTTCACACATTGCTAGCTCTTCGTTTTTGGTGATAACTTCCATTTGAGACCTTCTTATCTCCTCTTCTCTGTCACAAAGGGCCCTTTTAAAAACCGTATATTTATCTGCATCTAATTTTGCTTCCTTCAGCTCGGATTTTAATGTTGCTAATTCAGAGTGAGCTTTGTTTAACTCTGTTTTTAATGCTGATGCATCAGAAGCTTCTGCTTTTACAGCATTTAATTCACTTTGTAACGAATTTACTTGTTTTTGGAGATCTTGTTCATGACGATGAGCATTTTTTAACCTATGCTCTAAATCAGCATGTGCACGATGAGATTCCTAAAATAAGTAAATATAAATGTTATTAATAACTTACTGACCAATATTAATTAAGCATTTTAAAAATTCATAATTTTTATTTTACCTCAAGCTGTCTTGCAACTTCTTGTAATCTATCCCCAGCTTCTTTAAAATGTTGTAATTGTCCTTCTGAATGCATTAACTGACCTTGCATAAGTCCTAGTTGTTGGCGTAACATTTCTATTTCAGCAGTGCTACTCTCACAGGTTGCTTGTAACTCACTTTGCAATTCTTGAACTTCTACATGTTTTTGAGCTAATTGTGCTTTTAACGAATTTTCATTTTCTCGCATTTGTGCGAACTGAACTTCCATTTGTTTACGTTGTGCTATCAATTCTTGTTGTAAGTGACCTTGAGTTTGACCTTGATCTTCTTGCATTTTATGAATAATTGTAGCATTATCATTTATTTTAGCTTGCAATTGTTCAATCTGTCTAGTAAATCCTTGTTTTTCAGCAGCATGACTTTCCAAAATATGTTGCATACGTGTGTGTAAAGTTTGAGTTTCTGTAACTTTAACATTTAATGCTTCTTCTAACTGTCTAACATTAGCTGATAATCTAGATCTTTCGGAATTCAGTTCGGCACGTAATTCTTTCAGTTTATTTTGAAATGCAATATTTGCCTCATGTTCATCAGCTAAAGCTTTTTCTTTTTCTGCTAGTTGTTTTTTTAATTTTATAACTGGATCTGCTCTGCCTTCTGTCCATTCTGAATGTTCTGATGGATTATCCATTTGTTTATTTAGAAGTTGATCAATGAGAATTTGTATTTCAGAACGGCTAAGTTCAGCTTTTTGTACCAAAGGTATTAACAAAGATACATTGACAGCATCTTTATCTCCACCTAACACAAAAGAAAGAAACATTAAAAATTATAAAACAACAACATATAGCAAACATTTAAAAATTACTCATTTTTATATTATTTTTTTTATTAAATGTATCTTAAGAATTAATTAAATGTTATTAATATATGGATATAATTAAAATTGATGGAAATATCATTTAAATAGTTAAATGAATACAAAATATAAATATTATTTTTTATATGGGAATATAAATTTAATAACTTTATATAAAAAGAGTAAGGCATTTAGTAAGTTAACTTACCAATTTGTGCTAAAATGTCATTCTTTTTCTTTGTTTTTTTAGATTCCTTATTTGTTGACTGTGTAGAGAGTGTAATGTCTTTTATAACTTCCTTTGCATCTTTAACGGGCGTTTCTTTCTGTTCTCTAACTTCTTTTACAGAGTCCTTATTAACAACAGGTGTTGCACTGACATTAGTAATTGTTTCTTTTTTCTCTTCCTTACTATTGTCATCTTTCTTTTTTATTGAATCCTTCACATTTTTTTTTGATTTTGTTGGAGTTTCTTTTGGAGATTTATTTATAACTGGTTCTGACTGTCCAATTTGTTGCAAATTTTCTTTCTGTTAAACAAAACATAATTAACTATATTAAAAAATAAATATATACTAATTAATTTTGCATTAAATCGTTGATTAATACATATTTATAAATAACATACATACAGAACACAAAAATAAAAAAAAATTAAAATAATTCAGTATTGAATTGAATAATAAACAAATACATAATGTATAATATAAATCTAAAAGCTTATTTTAAATTTCTTATTTTCAATTTCACACAGTTTGTGAATACTTTTGCTTAAATAATTAGAAATACTATTAGTTTAACAGGTTGAAATCAGTTTAAAAATCATATAAATAAATTTAAAAGATACTACAACAATACAAAAATAAGCATTATAATTATAGCTTTTGTGTTATAGCAGCAGCAAGCTATGCAAAATATGAAAAGTGAATGAAACACATATGAAATAAAATATTCTACCAAAAGCATTTCACTCACACTATGACTCCGTATGAGTTCGAGGTCGTCCTTTGGTTGAATAAGGTCAAAATGATTAGCCTCTGCCGAGAGGGATTGTGAAGGACTTAATTCAGTCACAATAACCAATGGCTCATCTTTATTTACAAGAATTGGCTTTACCTTTTCATGCTTGCTTTTCTTCTTACTTCCTTTGCTACTATCCTATGATTTCAATGTATATATTGAATGTTTCCCATATAGTGAATCAAGTAAAAATAGTAATATCTAAAAGCTTCCACTTCTATGATAATAGGTATATAATATAATTTACTTTATATTAAAATGGACATATAGACACTAAAATTTTACTCTTTTTCATTACTGGCGACTATCGCGCGCGCGCGCGCGTACCTACGCGTACGTATATTATTTATTCAATAAAAAAACCTTGAGTAATATTTTTTATTTTAATTATATATAAATATTATAGATGCATTTTTCACCTTAAAACTGTATTTATTTTGATTTCTTGCCAAACATATATACCTGAAATTAATAAATCCACTGCATCATTAACAATAAAGTGCATTATGTCTTATCTCATGAAATCTCATATCATCTCATAAACTTATTTAATACTTTTTACTTTAATATAACAATTATGTAAATCTTAATTATGCTTCAATATCTTTAAATTTTTGAAAATAAATATTTTCAAAAATATATTTATATATTAAAAATAAATAAAAAAATATATGTATATTCAATGATTTTTTATTTAATTGAGCTTTATCTTTTTCTTATTTCACTTAATTTTCATCTACATGATGAAGTAATAATAACAGTTTGATATTATCAAAATGTGTGGAACAGTTATTTATAGAAATTAATCTTGAGGGCCTAGAACTGTTTATCAATGAGCAATATATAAAAAAACAAACTTTTGCTTAGTTAATTTACTTCACACGAATCACTGTTATACCTAATTTGTAATTTAATCACATTGAAAAGTATAAATTTGTTTGTTACTTCTCAGACTTTCTTTTCAGACACATAAAATATTTACTGAGGTTACTAATATAAAACAAAATACTTTATTATATATTTAATGTCAAATTTTGAATGAACTTACCATGGCATAATTTTAATTATATTAAATACATTAAAAGAATTACTGAAAATTATAAAATAATAAGAGCAATATACTATCATGTAGAAAATTTTTATTGTGTAAAGATATTTAAAAAATGTGTATTATTATACTATTATATATATATGAAACAAATGCACATCATTTATTCTAAAAATATTATTATGCAATTTGCCTTCTAAATTGCTTTTTTACATCACAAAAGCTTAGTGCTTCATACAATAATTAAATAAATTCAATTTTATACAAATCTATTACAAATAAAAACTAAAATTATTTCTTCAAAAATATAAATGCCCATTTCAATATAAGGTACATAAAATTGATTCTATAAAAATTAATTTGCTTTTTAAGGGAAAACATTATTAATTGGATCTTTTACATTGATATAGGAGTGTGCAGTTACTTTGAGTTAATTCATTGTTAAAAATTATTATAGTGATTTAAAATTGGAATGAAATATAACACAAAATGGAAATTGCACTTGTGATGTTTTTCATAAATTCATTTTTGATAATGTAATATAAATGTGTTAGTTTCGATGAAATAGTAAAAATATGTATCAAAAGATGTTATGTGTTGTTAAAATATGTTATTAATTAGACTAAAATGTTAGAATTAATATGTATGGTTTAGATGACATCTAGCTAGAAATATGATATATCATGAATAGAAAGACCTTAAATGACATACAGGTGTGATATACAATATGTAAGCATACCATATTTCATGCATGAAACATAAAAACATAAGAATAAAAAAGCACATATATATTTTTTCATTTTTATAAATGCATATAATGACTGATCACATATGAATATGTAAGATACAATAAATACTTTAAAATTACAAAAATAAGTTTTATTATATATTTTAGTCAATATTAAACAATACACTTCTGAAAAAGTATATTATTTCTATAAGTTTATAAGTAAAAAAGATAATTAATATAATTATTGAAATGTAATTCTTTTAGAAAGTTATTTGTTTAATAATTTTAGTTACAAACATAATTTTAAATTTATTTTTAAATACAAATCATGATTTTAATTGCAACTAATTATTTTATGTATCTTTTGAAGGAAGGATATGTATATAAATTGAATAAATATATTTTTTTATACAAGTAATTTATATAAATTGTGAATTTGATAACAATCATATATATAATAAATATACTTACTCGTACTAATGGTTCTAGTGGTAGGATTTGAGGATTTTCCTCAAATTGTACATGCTCTGGTTTCTCTTCCTTATCTTCTTTTTCCTCTTTTTCTTCTTTCTTCTCTTTTACTTTTTTCCCTGCCTTATTTTTGTGTTTCTTCTCTTTACTCTTATCTTTCTTACCTATAAATAATATTAATAGGACTCTTATTATATCATATAATCAATTAAATCATATTAGCTCTTAATATAGAAATGTGACATCATTTACAAATCTATGCATACTAAAAGCTTATAATTATTTTTTAAAGAAACTTAGTATAATCATTTTATTCCTTTAACATAAAAATTTCAACTAAGTTACAAATTATATTATCATTTAAAATTGTTATAATATATTATTATAGAAAAATACATACTTAACAAAAGATCATCAGGAAGTTTTCTCTGTTCTGCTATTGCCTCTTCATAAGACTTTTCTTTTATACCAAACATTGATACTAACAGAATAACTGCTGCAGAAATAAGTACTACTGCTACATATACAAGTCCTGTTTGAACATCCATTTTATGTATCTCTATCTGTAAATTAAAAGACTTGTATAATATGATAACAATGTAAAATGTTTTAAATTAATTTTGACATAATAAAAAATAATTGATTAAATATTTAATTACACAATGTCTTTGATTACTTGTATATTACATAATTTTGATCATAATTTATTTGCAACAGATTTGAAATATAATCAACCAGTTACTTTCTTTAACAATATTATCTACTTGTACAACATTACTTATTCATAATATATGTTATATATTTACATACACTTCTTAATTCATTAAAATTTAATTAATAATATATTCTATAAATATTAAATATATTCTTATATAGAAAGTCCATATACATTTTGCAAAATTTATAATATGTAATAATAGTGTATAAAATGAATGTAAAATGAATACACTGACACACACGCGCGGCGCATAATATATATATATATACACATGCCCACATATATATAAAATTTGATATCTACATCTGTATATACATATGTATATATACCACGCGCGCGCGCGCGCATACACACGTATATATATATATCTGTGTGTGTGTGTGTGTGTGTGTGTGTGTGTGTGTGTGTGTGTGTGTGTGTGTGTGTGTGTATGTGTGTGTGTGTACGTGTACACAAAGTATTTTATAACATTTATTATATGAAAGTTACGAGAAAAAATATGATGGAAATGACATATGGGTGACAAGTGAAACGTCGACATAATCGCTGAAGATGAGTCAAGTTTCTCAACGTTAAGCCATGAATTGGTACAACCGGCAAAATGACTTATATTGTACTAACGTTTCATTAAAGCAACAAAACCAGTAAACTCGCTAAACTTACACTGCTCACCAAAAATGTATTTAGCAGATCGCATCCACTAAGGAATGTAAAATGAACAACGTACTATGTTTGTCTACAGAGAATCACGATAAGAATTCACACACGACTTCTCAAGAATTATGGCGGCCGGACATACAGCAAGTGTACGTGTTCGAAGCCACGCCTATCAAAACTCCCGTTTTCTGATTGGTGGCAGTGTGTGCCACGTATGCAAAACACTCGTGCAAACGAGAACAAAATTCATCCACGAATTTCGTTAATTGTCAATGATAATTAATCACGGTGAATAATTGATAACCTAATTTAATTCATGATCACTGACACAGTGCACGCATCCGACGAGTTAACACATTTGTGTGGTACTATACCAATTTTACACACTAAACACAAGCTGACCAACTTAATAAAATATAGAGTTTAATTACTTCTCTATAGTTATATCTTACACGAGCTTTATGTTAGATTAACAATTTGTAGACTTACTTTTAATGAAATGTTTTTTAATAAATAAAATAGGAATAAATATATTTAACGATTCAATTTTATTGTAATTTATAGTTAACTTTTTAACATATAGAAAAATATTATCTTTATCCCACACTTATCAAAGTATATAATATTATAATTATATTAAATTTAATAAAAATTGTATTGGAATGCCTATTTACTATTCTGAAAATAATACAAAAAATCATAAGTTTAATATTAACTATATGATTAGACTTTGTTTTAACAAATAGATATTTAATGTTCTCTATTTATACAATCTTAATCGATTTTTATTATCATATAACATTTGTTTTAACAAACGGTATTATGCGCTTTATACCTCTAACATAAACTAATAGTAAGAAGACTATAAACGCATGATACTCTGGAATAATCGACATAAAATGAATATCTAAGAATTTAAATGAAATATGCCATGACTTTTTGTTGCTTTTTAATGTAATAAAAGCATTGGCAGTATTTCAAAATTATTGTTCATAAATTTTCTGATCATTGCTATAAAATGTTATTTCTTTCAGTGTATTACACAAATATTATTATTGTACCGCAAATCGATAAACGTTTTCGACAAAACGTTATTTATCTTTTATTAGATGTTTGCTTAAAAAAATTGCATGAAACTTCTCATTCATAGATTTTTCTTTTTCTTACAATAAAAGAAAGTTTCAATATTATACTTTGAAAATGTTCATGCAACTGCTCGGGCTTCAGGCAAAAAGCTTTCCCAATATTTAATAAGTTGATTTTGGTATTGTAACATAGATTCTAAATATTCTGTTAACTGTTTTTTAAAGTCTTCCACTCTCACTAATTCAAATCGTTCAACTTCTTTTTTAATCATCTTTGAAATATTGTCAAATTCTTCTTGTCCTCTCTCAACTTTTGCTTCCCATTCTATTACTTCAGTAGCAGCTTGACTTGTTTTGTCAGTTCTTCCAGATTGTTCCAATCTTGCTTTCTGTTCTCGTTTTTTATTTAACATCATTTGAGCATGTTGCCAGTTTTGAAAAACTTTTACCCTTTCATGAAACACATCCTAAAATTATATTAATAAAATTGATTTCATATTTTTGAAATATAAATATACAATATTTAAATATGAAGTAGTTACTAACTTTTATTGCACCAATAAGTGCAACATAATCTCTTAACATTTCTCCAAACTGGTAAAGATCACTATTACTTTGTGCTCTTCTGATCACTTCCACCTTTTCTAAAGTTTCAGCTAATTGAGCTAGTGCCCTTCCAAGGGATGCTCCGGGTTCACCATGACCAAGAACTGCAATAGATCTTGCTGTTGCACCAGTACATGTTGCTAATTCTCTTCTTTGATTAGTTAAAGTATCAACAGCAGAATGTAATGCACGTAGTTGAACATCAAGAGAATCAATTTGTGATGTCTTCTCTTCAAACCACTAAAAATTAAAGAAAATTAAGAACATTGCTTTAAATAAATGTATTATATAAAATCAGATGTTTAAATTTTCATTGTAACTAATTAAATTAATAAGACAAAATATTTTATGATATAGCTTTTTAATTAAATATTGTTAAAAACTTCTATAATTTACTTTATCAGTTTCATCCATTTTGTATGTTATCTTATTAACAGTTTCTCCAACTTTATTAAACAGCCTCATTACTCCTTTACCACTGAGTGCAGATGTATTGGTTGCTTTAGGTAATTCCATATCTGTTTAAGATGTATACGAGATTATAAGTATGATTATATTTAAAAAGATGTTGTATTTTATATTATGATTTACCAGCTTCTAAAAATTCTCTAAAATCAGGATCAACACTAAGCACTGGATGAGCTGCTGTTCTATTTAAATATCTTTCAAGTGCTGCTCGACGTTTTTCAATAAATTCGGTAGAACTGGAATTTTGTTCCTGACTCTTATCACCAGACATTTTAATTTTGGTTGTTCCTAAATATATAATTATTTTATTTATTTTATAAAACAATATAAGATAATAACATAACTTTAAAATTCTTATTAATACCAATAACACTTTTCTCTGGAGCAGGAGGAATTATTCTGCCATTTCTAAGATATTTATCTGTTAATTTATCATGAAGGCCAAGAAAATCACTGAAGCGCCTAATAACACTAAAATTTCTCTTTCTAAATATTGGCATATTTGTCTTGGTTTCAACCTTGTAAGCAACATAAGCACCCATTCCATCTCCTATTTTTTGTGGAGAAGTTACTGTGATTTTTAAAAAAACATCAGAAAAATCTGTTGATACCTATAAAATAAACAATATAATATATATTTTTCATTGTTGTGTTATTAACATTTAATAATTTCAAATTTACCACATCACTTGATTGTGTTTGCATAACGCTTGGTGAAAGTACATCTGTATTATCGTTTATGGGAACATCATGAAGATCTCCTATATCAGTACTCATTGGTCCTAACGGTGAGCTTAATGGTCCTGGTGCAGGACTTGATACTGATGAAAAAGAATTTTCTTCTGGTGCATCTCGCAAAGTCAACTTCGGTAATTCAGCTTGAATAGATGATACTCCATTGTGGGGAGATGAATCTTCCAATTGACTTTGATCCTACATTTAAACCATATCAAATTTCATTTTAAAAAATATTTTAAACAAACGAAGAACAATTTTCTTTTAAATTGATATTTTCTAATAACAAACGCAGATATAACATTTATTATAATATAAATAAATTTTTAAAACTGTTACATAGGCCGTCAAATTTTTAGGCACATGTTTGAAAATAACATAAAAAATACCTGTACTGCTGATGCAAAAATATCTTCATCATCGTCGTCTAAATCATCAACTTTCGTCTCGTTAGTGTCAAATAACGGAGGAGATTCTTTTATATCAGCCATCTTAACGATTCTGTCAATTTACCGAGAAATGCACTGGGATCGGCCCCCCAAGTGATGTATGCCAACGTCAATCGCTATCTATGACTATCGTATTTCTCACAGTATACTTATTTATTCGTTATAAGCTTGCTAATTTATTTCTTTTATACATTCTACACATTAATATAATATTTTCACAACCTACAAGATACAACTTACATGTAACAAATTGACAATTACTATATTATAAAGGCGCTACTGATGAAGTCGGTTAGTTGCGGTTGGATGAAAAAATGCATTATATACTGTTTAGTTCACAATAAATTGTTATCGTCTAGTGATGAATTTGTAGCGGTATATTTAAAAATGTATCAATCAATATTTAATTTTCATTGTACTTAATTACTTTTAATATAATATCTCAATCATAATGTTTTTAAAAACCAATTATTAAAAATTGATGTACTTTTAAATATTATTTCTAGCATTATATAATACTTCAATTGAATAGATCATATGTATATAGAACAGGTTCCTAGGAGAATTGCGTAAATCTGTGGATCATTTAGTGTATTATATACGTATATAATGTATAGTGCTTTCGCGTCAATTCGTGGTTAATTTCGTATACGCTATACATATGTGATAATAAGTAAAATTTTTATTTAAATTTCGATATTTAATAAAATATTTTTTTACCAATTTCCAAGAAAAGAATTAACTTGAAGAAACATTATATATTCATGTGCAGTATTTATTTATGAACCTTTCTTATAAGTATTTACCAGTTGTCAAAAATGAATCAAATGTCAAGAGAAGAAATTAATATTAGACGACTTTTAACAAAATGTGAATTAATGGCAAAAGATGATCCTCATAAGGATTGGAAACTTGAAAAGGTTTAAAAAATAATTTAAGAAATTAATAATTTTTTAAATTGAAATAATTTATACACAACAAATATGTTCATTTTTTTCAGTATATTTTTACTTTAGATGATATGATCAAACAATTACAAACATTACCAAGGTAGAAACTTATTTTATTTTTTAATAAAAAAAAATAAATTAATAATACTTCAAGTTGTTTAAATTTGTATGTTGTAAACAAAATTGTAACTTATTGTATTTGAAATTATAACAAAGTTATTATAGTTATTTTATTTCAGCAAATCATCTAAAGATACTATAATGGGTTATAGTAAACGAATAGATTTTTTAAAAGGATTAGTAAATACAACAAAACTTACAAGTCCAGTAGACAGAGTTGTAGCTGTACAAATGTTACCAAAAAATTCTACAACATTTAATGATTCAATAGGTCCAAATATAACAACTCAAATACATCAAAAAACTTCTGCAAAATATAATAGAGAATTATCTGCTGAATTATTTCATAGTGAGAAAGGTACATTGATATCATTTTATTTAAAGAAAATAATAGATAAATATAACAATATTTATTATGTTTTAGGAATATCAGAAGATGGTATAAGGCAGAGATTATCTACTACAAACATGCAAGATGATGATTTAGATGCACTTATAAAATACAATAGAAATATCCAAGAAAAGATTGCTGAAAATATGATGTCAATGACTAGTAGTATGAAAGAACATGCTTTAGCAGCAAATGCTATTATAAAAAAAGATATTGGCTTACTTGAAAGATCTGATAAATTAACAGATGTTAATACAACTAAATTAAAATCAGAATCATTAAAACTGCAAGAGCACACACAATCATATTGGCGTTGCTGGATGTGGTTGATGATAGCATTTGTGTTAGTTGTATTTTTCAGTAAGTATTAGCCTATTATATAGCCTGGTATATTTTCATTATGATATTTATAATACCAATATATTATAATTCTTTAATTACTTATTCTTATAAAATGTTTATAATAAACTTGTCTAAAGTATTATAAAAACATATTTAATATATAAAATTATTTTATTCTTTGTTTTGTAGATATGGTATTGTTTATAAAATTTGCAAAGAAAAGAATTTAGAATTGAACACATATGTACATATGTACAATTAATTTAAATGTGTGAGATGTAAGCTATGTGTAAATGTGAATAGCAACCATAATTTACACGGAGTAACATATATTGTTATAAATACATCTTCATCTTTGCCTCGTAATGAGTACATTAATGACAATGTCTATATTACATAAATTTGGTAAATAATAAACAAATATTTTATTAAACTTGCTTAACATCAAATTGTATGCAATATTTAATTGAATACTAAAAAATATGTGCATTTCTTATTCTGAGTACTAAATGTGCTGAAAAATATTTAAAAAACTACTATATACTATATACTTGAATATCAAAATTGTTATTATATATATTAAAAGCTATTATATATATTATAAGCTAAAAAATAATTGAATATGCATTTGTTACGTCATTAGTGAAAATATTACAACATTTGTAAAGTTTCTGTATCATTCCTTTTTACTTTTAATATACAATTATTAGATAATATTTAATCTTTTGTATTTTATTTATTCTTTGCTTTTGAAGTAAAATTAAAATTGTACAAGAACTATATATACATTTATAGCATAGCATGTAAACCTAATTATTTATTATTAGAATAACAAATTTAAAAAGATATATAATAATGTTATTAATATATGCTTTATTACGCAATTCGTTTATACGAGGAATCAAATAAGTGTAAATGGACGGTAGTGGGTGTTAATTATATTTTAATCGATGTTTTAGTTTAATTAAGTTCATTATATGTACACATGGATTTTTGAAAATTTATAGCGAAAGAAAAAGAATAAGTGAGAATTCATAGCTGCTGTCATCTGCTAATAATAACGCAACACATATCGAGGTTCCAAACCAAAAACTGGTAAAACTTACTTAAAGTAGCATATATTTCATTCCTTTACAACAATACTATTCATGAAAAAATAAGTTTTAGAAATTTCTAGTTGCGATATAACAATTATCTACTTTTACCACGGAAAGTTTAAATATTAAACTTTTAATATCAAGAAGGGAAGAAATATTTTTATCAGGACTAGCTTCCATATATTCAAAGATGAATTACAGAATAGACCTATCATACAATGCATTTCTATATTACGTAAATTAGAAAAACTTGTGCTCCTTTATTATTTTAGAGTCACTCCCAGTATCACCGATTCAGCGTAGAATAAGAATACAATGCGCCTGGTGATTAGAATTTAAACCAAATTTATACCATGGAATTATTAATAACATATAGAAGAGGTCACTTAACAATAGTAAACACAGTATAAAATTCCCTATTTTTATATTCTTCTGTTTTGTAATTACTTAAATTTATGTTGATATGCTAATCAGTGTAAATATTTAGTTACTACGTAGCTCTTAGTTTAGCGTCGTTTGATAAAAATGATCTTATCGAAAAATCCAAAGATTTCTTATTAAAATTTATTCTAAAAGAACCACCAAAGTAAATGAAAAAACGTTGAGAAACGATACTAATTTCCAGGTCTCACCACGAGGAGGTGGCTATATAATCGAGATCCAGACCTTAGGGGCCCCTAAACAACGAACGAGATTCTACTGGCAGTTTCCTGTAATAAAAACGTGTATGTTTCTTGGAACCTTGTTGTTATTTGGAACGAAATAAGTTCTTTTTTTCTTTGAGCCGGGAGTAGTAAAAGTTGGTTGGAATAAGATTTTAATGAAACAAATAAAATTATAATTATTATCGACGACGATTACGTGTAGCTACGGTACTGGCGAGTCTAGGCAAGCAAGCAAGCAATGGCTGCGTGGCGGTAAAACGTCGTACACACGTTACCGACGAGTATTCTCACTATCTAATCGAATTACAAACTGCTTCAACAATTCTGTTTCATTGTCTCTTCTTCAGAAAAGCCTATAGAATACGATATTATATAGCAAATTCGTGCTGGATAAAGAACTTATTGTAAAAATGCAAGAATAGTGCGTAGAAAGTACGCTCTGCGGTTGTATACAAATATTGATAATAAATTGCAATAATTCCGAAGTACAAATAATTATAATTATGATTATCGATAAATTCAGCAAACTCCCACCTAACTTTTAAGATAAAAATTAATCCCGTAACTCTTTTTGATTTCGCGCAATCCTTCATGCTAGCCAAAAATCGTGCGCTTTTAGGAAAACTCGTATTTTTCGAAAACTCAGAGTGGTAGAGCTATTTTGTTTCCGGGTTCGTATTAAGGAAGGTAAGCTTCATAAGAGTTACCCAATGGATATTACAGATTTGTGAAAAAGTTAAAATTTGTTGGACAATATTATTAGAGTTTACATTATTATAGAAATTTCCATCAATAATATAATACTTTTCCAGGCAATAATGTTTCTTTTATTTAAATAATTATTTATTAAATGTCTTAAGAAACATGATTTATTTAAATAAAAATACAATTTCTATCTGCGTGAAATAAAATTATAACGAAACCAACGAAAAGGAAGTAGGATTGAAATTTATTACGAGATTTTATTACTTAATATCAGTGTAAGGATAACGTAAGAACCAAACTATATTGCGAATGATACTTTATGCTATCCTAGAAGATTTCATTAGCTAAATCTTTAAATGCACGTGTAACTTTGCGATCTAAACGATTTCCTAAATCGCAGGTACCTAGGAAGGCATGAAAGTAAGCTCGTACACAGTTTCAATACTTTATTCATATAATTTCGTAGTTACGGCATTATCTCTATATATTTACATGTCTCCAATTTTCCAAGAGAACTCGTAATGCGTCTCTGCGCGCACTACTATATTACTCATGTGTACATGTATCTGTATGTATGCATGTTGTATTCATGTTCGTTTTATCGCGTTGACAAGTTGTAAAACATATCATCAACGTTAATCTTTGTTTTTTCCCCTTACATTTTATTCTCATCCTTTTCATTCGCATCCTGTAGAACGCAAAACGCTACGGCGAAAGAAAGAGAAACTGCGAATTGGTTGCGTGGATCGTCGTGTGTATCGTGGCGTCGAGGATCTGCACGTTTATAAATCGGGAATTCTAACCAAACGGCACAGGAGGCTTCGCATTGACATGTAAAAAATCTAAATGCATCATTTACGCTACAGCTCGTATTTTATATATTTCGCTCGTATCCGCATTTAAGTTCCCGAAAACGAAAGGGCTAGCTCGAGCGTATCGAGAACACGCCGAGTCGCGATCGACTCGATCGCTTTCTCACTTTCGTCGCAGGTGAACACACACGTGCGAACGCGTGCATCCACGCGCGCACATCGAGTGCGTGTGTATGTGTATATACCCTTTCCTGTCCGAGAAGGATCGATCTCCGATGTATACTCCGATATACGCGCTCGAATCCTACTATACATACACACATATATTAGTATACATGTATACGTGTAAAAATCGGGAGCGTCAGCTTATTAAAGAACAAAAATATCCCGCGATCGCTGTCGATCTTTCAGTTTTGCGAAACTTCACCGCTAATATCGTCCGTTCATTTTTATTATTAATTTCCCCGCTCCACACTGCGCCTGCGTCTCACCGGTCTCTCCGCAAACATGAGTTATTTTCACTATCTATAAATTGAATCGGTTTAGTGCGCCCGAACGTATAATAACTGTACAATTGTAAAATATAATTCCATCTAGCTATAGCGACTCTAGATACACTTGTGTGTGAGCTTATTAATTCTTTTTTTTTTTTTCTTTTTTAATTCTTTTCTCTTTTTGTCTGCGTTACTATTCAACGACTTCCGGTTCGCGATACATACATGTCACGCTATATTTTCTTTCTCCCACTGCATGTGTACACGCGCGACCTCCATTTCTCTTTCGCGCGCGCGCACACGCAGCACACACGTATACACGTTCATGCATACCTCACATTCGTTCCGTTCGTCTCTCTCGCTCTCACAATATGTTTCTCCCTTTGTCTCGCATTCGCTTTCCTCATACACTTTCCTTGCTGCCGCACTACGTATTACTAGTTAAGTTTAGGTATGATGTTATCCGCCACACACTTAAGATCGAGGTTTAATGCGTTAAGTTAATTAGAGTAACATTTTGCTCGATAAGATATCTTATTAGAAGTTAATTAGTTTAGTATAAACGTTAATCGTCGTTACACCGAAGGATATGCAGATAGAGAGTTTGGAGGGCAGTGATAACAATATGTTCGCGATTTCACGATGGCCGGTGAACACGTGTTACTCGATTTTAACGATGGATTTGCCTCGTTCTCGTGCCACGCGATGGCACGTCGCCAGGGCAAAGGAATAGCTTTCGTGTTTTTACTTCTTTTTTTCTATTTCCAGGAGAATAGCAGGGGCGAAATTACGCTTATCTACGGTACTTTCATATTAACGAACACGTAGATACAATCATCGGGGGAATTATGATCGCAAAAACTCGCGTGGCCAACTAATCTGAATAATCGAGCATTGAATTCTGCGCAGAAGACACATGGCTTTATGGTATACCGCGGTCATTCCGAAGACAAATGACTTATTGTTAGAGGAAATTATCTTTGTACTTCATCTCTCTTTCGAATTTTCTTTCGCGTGTATTTTTGCATTACAAAAGACGTGTTTAATCGCACTTGCACGGTTTCAGGTGGACCATTTTTCATCGAATGTTTATACCAAATTCTTAAATTAAGTTACATCCCCTTCTTTGGACGAAGATGGAGGAGTGCGAGTAAAGGCAGCACCCCTTATGCTTGAATGGAACAGCGTGAAATTTATTTCACTTAAATAAAACGTATGGAGATTGCTCTATTTCTCAAGGGATATTAAAAAGATCGTATATATTTCACACGTGAATATCGATACATTCGATACGTTCTTCAATAAACAGAGAAGAAGAATTTGCAAATTTCATTACGAAAACAATCGCATGATTCATCTTCGAAAATCAGCGAGCAATCTCAAAGAGCATAGTTCGATCGACTGAACGAATGCAAGGAAATCAACGTGAATTTTCAACGGTTCAAGATGTTTTACTCAAGTAAGCATGGTCGCATTACCATTTGTCTCCCGTTAATACGAAAGTGCCAGGGCGTTCCGTTAATTATGCACGCAGATTAATTTACGCTGGATCCCGTATTACTTTCATCGATCAATTTCTCCGGGCATGATCGCGAAATGTTATTCTTCGTAACGAGGCATAACGCCGGAACAAATACAGTTACTCTTGTGAAGAATCCGTAATTTCAAGATACCGCGTGGACGATGTTACGGAGATATCGTTAAGACTGCCCACTCAACTTTAGCCACGTAAATATACAAAATCCACATCGACTTATCGTTTTTTTTTTTTCTTTTTTTATAGCCTACAAATGATCTCGAGGGTGAAGACTGCGAAGTGAAGTCGAGTGAAGTCGAAAGAGCAAAGATTATTGTGCCATTTTTGTAAGCGTCGTTTTTAAA